TACATCAAGTCTATATTAATTCTAAAATATAAAAACATCAGTAAATAATCCATGGCTCTCAGTATACAATCCTGAGCATAAACAAATACATGACATAAATCTCCACATAGGATAATTAGGCATGTTAATAAATCTACATGCCATCATAAAGTCTAAACATAAAATAATCAGCTCATCATCAACTACTCCAATGCGGGGACCTTGCCCCTAGAAGCATCCCTACTACTCTGGGTACCTGAAATGATGTCCCCAAACGGGGTGAGATAACAACATCTCAGTAAGCTCAAGGTTCATAGAGGTTCCTCTAATCCCCTGAGCCCACTTCCTGCATGACAAGTCAGAAATAAAGTATATAATACAAGCATACAACATAAACATAGCATCATCATATCATCCTTGTGTAACCCCGGGGTCAAAGCCATAGATGGTAACACATGTGTGACTCCAGGGTCAAGCCATAGACAGTCAACACAACCTCAGTATGAAATAGCTCCCAGAATCAAGTCATAGGCAACCTACATACCATGACCACTGGCCAAGATCCTCATAACATATAACATTAGTGCATCATCATAACATCAAGAATCGTATAACATCTATATGAATGTGAATGAATGCACATATACATCATACCACGTACTTTCATACAATACAACCATAATGCCCACCATCATAGTGGGGCCACAAGAGAGGGGAGCAACCAGAACTAGGAGCTTACCTCACTGAGCTTATCACAAGCCCAACTCCAACAGTAAAACACGTATGCTCCAATAAATCCTCAAGTGCCAAGTCCTCTAGGCAAACCTAGACCAGGAATCGTTTACATCATTAATACTCAATCACTTAATGATTTCACATTTCATTCTTACATGCCAATAATATGCCCATTACAAGTCTAGACCAATTATTACATAATTATGTATTTTAGTGCATTATTACAAGCAAACTCAATTTTCAATCACTTACATAACTTAGAATCACATGCAAGGCTCACTTAGGTAACTTAGATTATTTTCAACTCATCCAAGCCATATATATGATTATAATAAGTTACTAAGGGTTCCCATAAGCCCACTTAGCTTAAATATCACTTTTACAGTTTTCCATAAATGTATATGCTTCTATTTTCTAGTCACTGAGCGCAACTCACTTGTTATAAAATCTCATTTTTTAGTATATTAATCTAGACTCAATCAAATTTCCAACAAGGTATCACATGCCTCATTTGGAGTTTCCTAGCTCCGGTTATCACCATTTGAAGTTGGACAAACAAAACTGTTTGCCAACTCCGAACAGAGCCCTAAACATACTTTAACATTTCTGCGATTCTGGAAAATCTACTGAACCAATTGCTCTCAAATTTTTATGTAGAAAACTAGACGAATAAATATTTGGTACTACTGGTGTACCAAGATTCAGTGCATCCTATCAATAAGAACATTACACATTAGAGGAGAGAGAAAAAAATTGACAGAAAAAAAAAAGAATTTTAAGTGACATGTAATATTCTCATTGGTGAGATGAACTGAATCTTTGGTACAACAGTAGTACCAAAGATTTATTCAAACTAGACACCTTTAGCTTTAATTCGACATATTATAAGCCTAATTTGAGTAAGAATTGAGGGAGAAATAATTCGTGGAAGTTGCAACCATGTACAACCCCTGCACATGGCCTCCCTGAGCAGTCTCCACTCAATCGGACCTATAGAATGCTACACATCTTCAAATGGTACCAACTTTTGACACCACATAGCTGACATCTCAAGTTTCAAAGTTATGTATGGTACATATCTATTGGACCTCTGTGGAGGGATATATGCTCTCCCAAAGTTAGCCTTAAAACTGATCATTTAACCAAAGTGTGTTTAATTAGCCAATCCTAATTAGGTTTAATTAGAAACCCCCTAAGTGAACATAAATTTAGGATTTTTCATTTATTTTTATCCCTTATGCAATTCCACATTATTAGTGGTCCTAAACCCTAATTAGTTCAACTTTTAGTGTTTAAGATTTAATTAATCAATTATGTTTAATCCACCTCACTTGGTCCCTCCATTAGTGTCCTAATTAAGTCTTAGAATCATTTTAAGACATCAAACCCTAATATATATCTATATGGCTGAATTGCATAGTCATAAGATTAAGGTTTTTACTTGTCTTTTTAACACACTTTCATGGTTTAATTAAGTCATTTATGTCTTTAGTCCCCAAAGGTGTCATCTTTGTTAATTTTAACCATTAAACCCTAATATTAATGAAGAGGACAAAATCAAATCATGGAGTTTTTAGGATTCTTAGCTCATCCACATCAAGAACAACTCACACACAAGCCAAAGGTGACACTTTTTCTTACAAGTCTTCATGTTTCTTGAGTTTTAGACTTCCACCAACACATTTAACCATCAAGATCCCATTTTTAATAATTTACAACATCATTATCAACATATAATCATTATGGCCGAAATGGAAAGTGGGAGGAAGAAGGGTATGGAGTTATCTTTTCCATGGATTCAAGCCTTTTCTTCTCCAAGATGGCTCCTTTAGTTCACCTCCAACCTTTACTTGCCAAGAATTCTTCTTTTTTACCAAGAACACACCTTCATGAAATATTCAAGGATTTAGAACCAAGAACATGAATTTAAAAGAGTAAAGGTAGGGTTTTTCAAAAAGAAAATGTAAGGAGCTTACAATAGAACTCAAGGGAATAAGCATCAAAGTGGTGTTCTTCAAAGAGAACTCAAAACACCATCACCTGGATTGAGCATACTCAAAATCATGGTTGTATGGAGGGCTATTCTCCACGAAAATTTAGTTTCCAAGAATAAAAATGGTATGTTCTTGAAGAGGATTATGAGAGGAACAACTTTGGTGAAGAGTGTTTAGTGATTTGAGGGAGTTTTGGTGATAAAATTCTAGAGAGAAGGATGAGAAAATTTAAAAACTCCAAGGTAGAGAGAAGTGTTTGGGCTGCTGATTAGAATGAGGGGAAGGGTCTCATTATGTTTTTAGGGTTTTTGTCATGTCATTAAGTGACTTTCTGTCATTTAGTGGGAGTAATTTTCTCTGAACGATTATCAAATTTCTACCCGAAAACCCCAAAGACTCTAACTTTAAGTAATTAATATTAAATTTGTATAATTATCATGTTCCTAACTTAAAAAAAATTCAATTAGTAGATCACAAATCTACTTACCGCAGTTTAATTGCACTGTATGCTTTACCGGTGTTTCTAACTATACCCGGATTTCATAATTATGACTTGTTAGGCATATATTGGGCTTTAATTCCATTATTTCATCTTTTTCCCATTCTGGGATTCTACCGGTTGCTGCTATAGCAGTACAAAATATCCGGTAAAAGTGACATTTCAAAAATACCCCAATATGGGTATCAATCTTCACTATTTCATATACTAACCTCATTCATGATGTTTATATCTTTAGAATAGCTCTCTAACTCAAATTTGCTAGATTGGAGCTATTCTACATACTGTTACTGCGTCAGCAGTCAAAAACAACAGCTGAAAACTCAACTATTCAGAATACCCCCTATGGGTATCAAGCTTCATCAAATCTTATGCTTACATATTTATGTTATTCATATCATTAGGATATCTCTCTAACTTACATTCACTGTACTGGAGCTATTCTACAGTCTATTACTGCGTCAGCAATCAAAAACAGCAGATGAAAATTCACCTGACTGGAATACCCTCAATATGGGTATCCAAATTCTTAGAATTTTATTCTCATTCTATTTATGACCATAAGGTCCTCATCATAACCCTCTAATTTAAAAGTCATTTAATTAGGGTTATTATAGCTATCTTGGAGAAGTCTTTGATAAATCTCCTATAAAAACCTGCATGTCCTAGGAAACTTCTAACATCATTTACATTAATGGGAGGGGGAAGTTTTTCAATTAGCATCAATTTGGCCTTATCAACCTCAATCCCATTTTTAGAGATCTTGTGGCCCAAAATAATCCCCTCTTGTACCATAAAGTGGCACTACTCCCAATTCAAAACAAGATTCGTCTCTTGCATCTTTTCAGCACCTTAGACAAATTTTCCAGACATAAATTAAAATAGGAACCAAAAACTGAAAAATCATCCATAAATACCTCAAGATGCTTTTCTACCATGTCAGAGAAGATAAAAAGCAAACACCTTTGAAAGATCGCAGGTGCATTGCAGAGACCAAATGGCATCCTTCTGTAAGAAAATACTGTGAAAGCTGATTTCTCTTGATCCTCAGGTGCTACTAGAATTTGATTATAGCCAGAGTAGCCATCCAAGAAACAGTAATATGAATGACCAGCCAATCTCTCCAACATCTGGTCAACAAAGGGAAGTGGGAAATGATCTTTTCTGGTGGCAGCATTCAATCTTCTGTAGTCCACACATATTCTCCAACCAGTTACAGTTCTAGTGAAAATTAGCTCATTGTTATCATTCTGGACCACAATCACACCTCCCTTCTTAGGAACTGTTTGCACTGGACTCACCCAAGCAGTATCAGAAATTGGATAAATCATGCCAGCATCTAGGAGCTTCACCACTTCTTTTCTGACAACCTCCTTCATCATAGGATTAAGTCTCCTTTGAGGTTGTCTTACTGGTTTAACATTATCCTCCATAAGAATCTTGTGAGTAGAAAAAGAAGGACTTATACCTTTCAGATCAGAAATAGACCACCCTAAAGCAGTCTTGTGCTCCTTAAGTACTTGTAGCAGCTTTCTTTCTTGATCAGAAGATAACCCTTTATTGATGATAATAGGGTAAGTCTCGTCATCTCCCAAGAAGATATACTTGAGAGTTTCAGGAAACTCCTTCAACTCTACCTTTGGTACTCCAACCTCTTTATCAGATTCTTTCTTTTCAAGCACCTCAAAAGTCACTCCCTTCTCCTCTTGAAAGGGAACAATGTCCCAGACTTCTAATTCCTCAATAAGCTCTTGGGTAACAGATTTTTCTTCTTCTTGCACAACCATCTCATCTTAAACATCTAGCATGAAGCAATCACTCTTATCATAACATTTCTTCATAGCATCAAAAACATTAATAGTGATTATTTCATCGTTCAACCTCAATTCAAGCTTTCCTTGTTCAACATCAATTATGGCTCTAGTTGTAGCCAAGAAGGGTTTACCTAAGAGAAGAGGTATATCACTCTCCCCTCTCCATATCCAGCACTATGAAATCAGCAGGAAAGATAAATTTATCAACTTTAACCAGAGCATCTTCAATAATACCACTAGGCCTTCTCAAAGATCTATCAGCAAGTTGAAGAGAGACCGTAGTAGGCTTCAATTCAGAAATTCCCAAAGACTTACACACAGAAAGAGGCATAAGATTGATGCTTGCCCTAAGATCGCATAAAGCTTTGCCAACATTTGTGTTACCAATGGCAATAGGAATATTAAAACTCCCTGGATCACGAAGCTTATGAGGAAACTTTTTCTGTATAATAGCACTGCACTCTTCAGTAAGTGCAATAGTCTGGCATTCTTGCAGCTTATGTTTCCTTGACAATAGATCTTTCATGAACTTGGCATAATTTGGCATGCTAGTCAAGGCTTCAGCAAAAGGGATATTTATATGCAACTTTTTGAAAATATCAAGAAACCTTCCATACTATTTCTTCTGAGTATCTTGCTTGAACCTCTCAAGATAAGGTGTCATAGCTCTAACATAATCAGGACTAAGCTCCTGCTTCTTCTCAACAACATTTGGCTGCTCTTTTGCCTTTTCTTGCTCTTTTTCAACTGGCTTAACAACTTTTTCAGGTATCTCAACAACTTTTTCAGGCTCAACTACTTCATTAAGCTTCTTCTCATCCTCCACAGGATCTAGTTTTGGCTTTTCAAGAGGTGAAATCACTTTACCACTTCTTGTAACAATAGCTTTGCAATGCTCCCTAGGATTTATAACAGTATCACTAGGAAAAGTACCAGGAATTCTTTCAGAAACTTGCTTTGACAATTGACCAATTTGAATTTCCAAATTTCTGATTGAAGCATCTTGATTCTTGTGATGATCTCTAGTCTCATTAATAAAAGCATCAGTGGCCAAAATATGATCATTTGTGGTCTTTGAAAGCTAATTAGTATTTTGAGAAAGTTGCAACATGGCTTTCTCTAACTCCGAAAGCTCTTTAGATGGAATAGGAGGAGGCTGCAAAAAATTATTAGATTTAAAATCAAGACCAGTACTTGAACCCTCCTTTGAAAATTGTTGCCTGAAGCAAAATTTTGATTCCTTTGAAAGTTTTGTTGAGGCTTCATATCATACCACACTCTATTTACTTGCATCTGAAGAGGATAAGAACTCATAAGTGTAGTGCATTCATTTGATTCATGACCTTCTCCACAATATTCACAAACCACAGAAGTTGATTGCACTTTGGACACTTGAAGTTTCTCAAACTTTTCATTGAGGCTATCAAATTTCTTTGATAAGAGCTTCTGTTCCGCAAGCACTGCATCATTGCTTTCCAGTTGAATCAACCCTCTTTTAGGCTGAGAAGCAACACTCTCATTCTCATTCCTGGCCAACATCTTAATTAACTCAATAGTCTGAGTAGCTGACTTTGATCTTACAGTGCCTCACAGCTGCACCATTTATAACCAGCCTTGTTTCAGGAGTCAGCCCATTAAAGAAAATAGAAACATTCTGATCATTAGTCATCTCATAGTGAGGATATTTTCGGACTAACTCTTGAAATCTGTTCCAAGTGGCACAAAGTGTTTCTCCCTCCTGCTGACGAAAATTTGTGATTTCGTTTACCAGCTGGTTGTACTTCTCCATATAAAAGAATTCAACAAAGAATTTAGCTGATAAATCTTCCCAAGTAGGAATACTATTAGCCAGCTGTCCTTCCATCCACCTGAGTGCTTTTCCCTTAACAACAAAAGGGACTAAGCGCAATCTTATAGCATCATTTGACACATTATTGTGTTTTGTAGTGTCATAAATCATGACGAATCTGTCAATAAATTCATTTGGATCTTCAAATTCCTCTCCAAAAAATTGAGCTTCTCTCACCAAAGAAATTAAAGCTGGCTTCAGCTCAAGATTATTAGCAACAATGGCTGGTCTGACTATGCTTGAATTTGGCCTATTGAAGACTGGTGTCAGAATAATATCCAGCAATCGCTCTTGTGGTTGATTTTCGTCTGCCATTTCTGGTTCTGCTCTTAATGGGGAACCTGCAACTTCTGCCCACCTCCACTACTTAGCAAGCTTCCAGAGTTTCCTTGCAGTTCTTTCAAGTTTAGGATCGTAAAGCAAGTCTTCAGGGTCAACTGTACCTCGCATACAACTCAGCAAACAAGATTAGTAGCACCAGAAAAGAAAAATAAATAAAATAAAAATAATATCCAATCTTAAAGATCAATAATTATTTATAATATTGGCAATCACAATCCCCGGCAACGGCGCCAAAAACTTGGTGCAACTCGGCAAGTATACCGAATCGTACAAGTAATAGAGTGAAAGTACAGTATCATTCCCACAGAGATTGTGTCACCAACTATCACAATAATTATTCTCTTTAAGTTAGACAAATTCGATTTGAGTAGCAATTGATTTTGAGAATTGGACTTGTAATAAAAATGATGAATTTAAGTTGTAAATAGATTAAGATCATGCAAACAGTGAAATGGATTTTTTTTAGAAAATATTAAAAGCATTGTAGTTAAGATACACTTACCATATGATCCCCGCCTTAAATAATTGATTGATCTTTATCAATGGTATCTCATACCCTTTCTTAACATTAGGTTGACAACTCCTTGTCACTTAGTGGTGCATCTCATGCAACCAACCTAGCACTATTACCCTAAGCACATAAGCCCGACTGGGCCTGCAGCTTATGTCTCAGTTAAGCACTAACCAGCACCCCAAGTGTCTTACACTTCTAATACTACTCTTACTCAACGAAACAGTGGGTCCCAACTGGATTGTAGAGCACCACTATTTAGATGAGGTTTGAGTAATATTGGTGGTGGGAGGTAATCATGCGCTTAATAATTTTATTCCTTTTAAGGGTTCATTTTATTAAGGGTTTATTAAGTCTCATCAAACGCATTAATATATTATCATGCTAGTCGTAACCTATGTCATACATCTAACGGTTTAAACTAGTCGCAAATGGACTTGCATAATAATCATACAAACGCGATTTAGTCCAACTCATGCATACTAGACGTCATAAGCCATAAAGCATACATATCGCGATACTCTATCTCATGCATACTAGTCGTATAATAACATACATGCAAATAAAACAGTTTTATTTTGAGATAGTCATGGTGCTCGCTCCTTTGTCCATCTTACTTCTCAAGCCTCGGCTTCTTGTCATCTATACGCCACTAGCCTAATTTCTCTAATTACAATTAAAGAAACTCCAAAACATCTTGGAGGGATAAAATTTAAAATACAAAATTTGAAATTCAAATTACATCTTTTTTAAAAGAGCCCAAAGTTACACATTAATTTAAATTTGAAATTTCAAATTCCGGGCACCATAACCATCCCCTTCCTCTTTTGCACTTGAAATGTTAGACAACTCACAAGTACAAAATATTATCACATAATATATATTTTTCACGTATGTCTTGATATTTAACAATTAATTATCAAAACATATTTAAAATTTAAAACTTTTCTTAATTTTTCAATTGGCCGAATTATATAACAATTAATATAATTCTAATTTTGTTGACTTTTTCTCAAAGAACACAACTGGAAGAGTCAACATCCTTGACTGCCTCCTCGTAGTTACTCGGTTCATTATCCTCAACTGTTTGTTGATTCTCAATCACAAACCTATACCTCTCAGGTGGATGGATGCCCCTCGTTGACCTACGGAGTTGTGCGTTTACTTCTCCATTGGAGAACGTCGCCTGCGGAGCAGACTTGGGTTCCTCAATCTGTTCATGTGGTTCTTGAACTTCTTCAAGATCAATCTTACTCCCACTGGCTCCTTGAGAGATCAAATCCTTCTCAAGGAACTCAGCATTCTTTGACACAAACACTTTGTGTTCTTCCATGGAGTAAAAGTAGTATCCCTTAGTACCTTTGGGATACCCCACAAATAGACATTTAGTACTCTTAGCACTAAACTTGTCTGATGCCAACGCTTTGACATAAGCTGGCGATCCCCATACCCTGAGGTAACTCAGGTTGGGTCTCTTACCATTCCATATCTCATATGGTGTGGTCTGAACAGATTTAGACGGTACCCTATTTAGAAGGTATGCCGCTGTGTCAAGGGCATATCCCCAAAACGTTTTTGGAAGTTGAGTCTCACTCATCATAGACCTGACCATGTCTAACAAGGTCCTGTTTCTCCTTTCGGAGACACCATTTTGGTGTGGTGTGTAAGGTGCAGTAAACTGCGAGAGAATTCCATTTTCTCTCAGATAATCCTGAAACTCATGGCTCAGATATTCACCACCATGATCTGATCGTAATGTCTTAATCATCTTGCCACGTTGTTTCTCTACTTCATTCCTAAACTCCTTAAACTTTTCAAAGGCTTCGGATTTATATCTCATTAGGTACACGTACCCAAACCTTGATTTGTCATCAGTAAAGGTAATGAAATAGGAGTATCCTCCTCTAACCTCTATAGACATTGGCCCACAAACATCAGTGTGAATGAGTTCTAATAACTCACTAGCCTTATGACTTTCTAGCCCCTGGGGCTTGTGACAAGTCATTTTCCCAGCTAGACAAGATTCACATTGTCCATAGGATTCCAAATCCAAGGAATCTAGGTATCCATTTGCATGCATCCTAGACAATCTTGTTTCATTTATGTGCCCTAGTCTGCAGTGCCAAAGATATGATTGATTATCCATCCTAGGTCGTTTCACATCTATTTTGAGCACTTCAGTTCCCATTTCTAGAACATACAATCCATTTATTAAGGTAGCAGTACCATAAACAATATCATTCATAATGATAGAAAATGTACCATTCTTAATAGTGAAAATAAATCCATCTTGTTCTAAACAAGAAATTGAAATAATGTTTCTAGAAATACTTGGAACATAAAGACATTTATTCAAATGCAGAAAAAGGGCCGTAGGCAAAATGAGGTCGGCTTCTCCAATAGAATGAGCAGCAACTCTTGCTCCATTACCAACGCGGAGGTCCACCTCGTTCCTCTCCAATCTCCTTGGGCTCCTAAGTACCTGCAACATATTGCAGATGTGAGAACCACAACTGGTATCCAATACCCATGAAGTAGGATTAGCACATGAATAATTTATCTCAATCATGAAAATACCTGAGGTAAAAGCATCACCATGCTTCTTGTCCTTCACACTCTTCAGGTAGTCTGGACAGTTCCTCTTCCAATGGCCTTTCTTGCCACAATGGAAGCACTCAGCATCGCCTTTGTCCTTGGATGCTTTCTTACCCTTCTTGTTGCCCTTCTTCTTCTTGGATTTTCCTTTGGGCTTAAGGGAGTCACCTTTAGCAGGCCCTTTACCCTTACCCTTGGCCTTGCTAGGCCCACCAATCAGAAGAGCTTG